ATCACGATTTTCTTAGTAATCATTGGTGACATTAGTTAGCGCAGTCATCTAGTGACGCAAATGGATTATCACTAACAACGTTGAGCATAAGTTTTAATTTTTGAAAAGTAACTGATGTATCTATAGTACATTAAAGTAATACAAATCTAAAATAATGTTAATAAAGATCTTTTACCTAGTTATTTTCTAAAAGCACCCTAGAAAGTGTTTTATATTAAGTATTGACTGCAACACTTTAAAGCAGTATATCCATTACATACTCACAAAAAAAACTAATCTAAGTGCTTACTAATAATATATATAAAATATACCTCTTTATCAGGAATGTTAAGCATAAGTTAAAATCTCCAAATACTATATATATATACTCCTTTATTTTACTTCAATATTAGTCTTTTCATTTTTAATTTTTTTAAAAATATTTCATAAAAGGAAAAGAAAGTGAAAACATTACCCTTTACTTTTGTATTTTTTACATATGATTTACATTTAAAAATTGAAAAAAATAACTAATAAAATAATGCTTGTTGTTAGAATAAAAAGGGTTTGCAAAATATATAAATTATATAAAATTAAGGTGAATATATAGAATTCTTATGCGTTACATCATGTAATAAAATATGTCAAATGATTTATACAAGTTTAACTATAATATTCTAGAGTATAAACATTCTTTTATTTTATTTATTTTCGAAAAAATCATGTGATTGATCATCTATTATCATTCCTGAAAACTATTCTATGTAATACTTTAAAATATAAATTTAAATAAAAAAATTTTTTTTTATATATTTTTGTTTAGTATTAATTTTACTTGAACCCATATTTGAGATTATAATGTCATGTGCTTTATACTACTATACTATAGTAGTACTGACATAATTTTTAATTTTAATTTAATATAAGTCAACTGATTTCACATATATCACATAATATTAATCACCTGATTAAGTTAAAGATTTTAAACAAATATTTTTAAATTTCTCTTTTAGATTTGATATTTCTTTGTTGATATATTTTGGGGGTGATTAGACTTTCATCTTCTAGTACTAAAGAATTTCTTTTTTTTCATTCTCAAAAAGTTTAAAATATCCTTAATAAAATTTTACTTTATTAGAAATAAAGCAATCAGATTAACTATATAATAGATAAAATATATGTAGATTTTTATGTATATGATCAGGACAAGTATACAGCCTTTTTATTTGCTTTTGAATTATCTGATTGTAGCAGAAAAAGAACTTACAAAAATTATATTTTTTTTTGCCATTGAATTGCATAAAATAAACAAAAGTAGTTCTAATCAAAATTAGTTCAAATAACCTATCAAAATCTTTTTTATTTATGATATGTATAACTTTAATATCTCTGATAAACTCAGATGATCAGATGATTCCTAATGACCTAAATGACATAAGTCATCGTGTTATGAGTCATTTTTAAATGACTCAAATTTCAAATAACAAAGTATGACCAGGTCATTTGTCATCATTATTCAAATTTGTGTGACAAATCTTTCCTTTGATATGACAACTGAATCACAACAAAACAATCAATAGCATAAGTTAGTTTCTGATTATTTATGTTAATTTCGATTTGTCTGATTTGACCTAAATATCATCTGGATTGAGAATATGCAGATACTTATGAAAATATGTTATATTTTTTTCTTATTAACTTTCTTCCTATTTTTTATTTTGAGATGAATTATTATATAAAGATATTGATATTTGGATTGATTTAATTGATCAGGTGATTATCATGTGATATATTCGAAAATCAGTTGAGATTTATATGTTGGTGCTGCTATAGTATAGCGGTATAAAGCACTTAACATTCTAATCTCAAATAATGGGTTCGAGTAAAGCTAATACCCAAAATAAATAGAATAATTAAAAAAAAAAAAAAAAAAAATTTTTTTTTTAAAATTATATTTTAGAGTATTCCAAAAAATTTTCAATGCTTCCATTTTTCCCACGACAAACGACAGCTCATTGGTAGGATAAAAAAAAGGTGTATTAGTGACGAAATGTTTCTCTTATAAAATGATTTTTTAAGGAAGTAAAAAGTCAAATTTAATAAAACTCTTTTGGAATCAATAAGGCACTATTATGGAATCTGAGATAATTGAAGAAAAAACCCAATTGCAGTGGGTAGGTTATCTTTACAAAGTACTATTTCTAGTGCTATTACTTTTTAACTTTATTTGTGATTTTAGAAAGAAGTAATAATGGAGTTTGAAGGAATAGTTCTCCGTCATCTTCGTCCGCAATGCAAGAAAACAAATCATAAATTACACATCTTACAAGTCACAAACTACACTGACAAACAAGTTTATATCTCTCCAAGCTGTAAACTGGCGATGACGTACCTACTAGCAAACGCAAACGAAAACGTGGAGATTATGAAAATTTTAATTCAAGGTTATTGAAAGATATCACATCCAAAGATAAAGATGATAGCGAAGAGAAAGATGACGAATATGATGAAATTACTAACAACGAAAATTTTCTACCTTTTGACGAAGCAGTCAAACCCCAATAATTCAGAATGAAAGTTATCAAGCGGAGAATTTCGTCAGAAATGTCCTCTCACAATCAGC